GAAAAGTCCTTTGCCGTTTTTCGATCCGAGGTTTCGTTACCGAGATATAAGCAATCCAAGTTTGGGGGCGTGGCTACAGACGCTAACCACGCCTCCAAACTTGGATTGCTTGTATCTCGGTAACGAAACCTCGGATCGAAAAACGGCAAAGGACTTTTCGGTTCGTATTCGCACAAGAAATCGATCTTACGAAACGGATTCATATTTTTGTTAATTTCCAGTATTTCCAGTAATTCTAGAGAAAAAACGAAATTCCCTAGGTAATCTAATCCCTCCAAACTCTTCGATGATTTTGTTATCTACCCGTACGTTATTTTCTTTTTCAATTACGTCAACGACGATAACGCCACGTAAACGATTAGCGTCCCGATCGATAATTTGGACCGATAAAACAACAGCCACGCACACGTAACGCGTAGAAACAAGGGAGAGAAGTTGCACCCTCTATGATAAAAGGTGCCAGTTACATGCCGACGAACAGAAAAAGTATCAACGGTAATCCTATTTTTATACTGTTAAGAGCCGCACGAGCTCCAGCAACTGTTTTAAACGTTAGCAATAAAATATATACGAAGGCGAAAATTCGATTTAGAAGCAACGATCTTTGAATAAAAAAAGAGAAAAAATTGTACCAAAAATGCGAATATAATAATAATAATGAAACGTAAACGTGATTGGAAAAGAAAAGACAACTATAGTACGTGACTGAATTAAATTGATAATGATTATAATTGATAATATATATTTAAAATAATATTATTCTGCGAACATTCACGTTCAAATTGGAATTATGGTATAGTATATGCGGCAGTCATGCGAAATTCTTTTGAATCGCGTTATACATGACAGGGACAGTCGAACGCGTCTACGACGAGGCGCATGCGCGTCAACGCTGCACGCGAGAACGGCGCAGTATGGCAGTAGTGCAAGCAATCACTTGGATTGACGGAAGTGGACACGGGAGACATACGGGGGCGAACGAGGCGAGGGGAGGGCTGCCCATGCGAGAGGAGAACGTGGTCTGTGACGTCACATCCGGTTACCCGTCGACGTTTCACTCTCTTTTTCTCGCCGACGAGCCGAAAGAAACCCGAGCGCGTGCTGAATTTCTAATCTCCAATTAGATTCCGTCTCAAAGGTCCAACCAAAAAATGGAAATTTGTTTTTTTAACGTAATGTAGTACGTAGTTGTTCTTCGCATCCTGATGCGTAACAGAGGCTATTTAATTTGTACACGGGCTTTTTTTTGAACTCCTAATGTTTCTTACAATAATACATTGTACATTATACATGAATGAAATATAGTGTATTACTCTGTAATATATTAGTAAGTCATATATTTCGAATTCTTTAGGAATTTTTTTCTCATAAATAATAAGACTTGCTCCTATATGTTATTTAACAAAATATGCTTCGTTTTGACCAAGGATGTGAGAAATAATTTTTTTAGAAATCCATAGATCAATTAAATCAGAATTTTTAACTTCCAATTGCGACCCTACAACTACAGTACGGTGCCTTATTGAAAATGATCTAAAACCAAACATTGCAAGTATTTGGAAAAAAACTTATAAATTTCTTAAAATATAACAAATTATGTATCCAAATATGCTGAGAACACAGGATATTTTTTGCCGTTTTGTCTGTATGTTTGTTTAAAGATAAAGATTGTACTATGGATACAAATGATTGATACATGATTATTTATAACAATTTCCACGCTGGCACACATTTTCTACGATAGAAATCTGCCTCACATTGTGATATACATGGTGTTCCAAAAATGTTGGAGGTCCTTGAAAGAGGTGGTTCTGGAGGTGATTTGAAACAACTTTTTCCTTAGCGAAAATGTTGTAGGAGGCTTCGTTAAAAAGATATTAACAGAAAACACTGACCAATCAGAGCGCGAGGATGTCAGTGGAGCGCTCGCGGTAGGCGTGGTCTACGCGCTAGGTGACCGCCCTCCGCCTACTCGCGCTCTGAATGGTCCAGTGTTTTCCTTTAATATCTCCTCAACGAAGCCTCGGACAACATTTTCGCTAAGGAAAAAGTTGTTTCAAATCACCTCCACTCTGTATATACAGGGTGTCCCAAAAATTGTGGAGATCATTGAAAGGGTTGGTTCTAGAGGTGATTTGAAACAACTTTTTCCTTAACGAAAATGTTCTCCGAGGCTTCGTTAAGGAGATATTAACAGAAAATACTGACCAATCAGAGCGCGAGGATGTCAGTGGAGCGCCCGCGGTAGGCGTGGTCTACGCGCTAGGTGACCGCCCTCCGCCTACTCGCGCTCTGAATGGTCCAGCGTTTTCCGTTAATATCTCCTTAACGAAGCCTCGTACAAAATTTTCACTAAGGAGAAAGTTGTTTCAAATCACCTCCCGAACCACCCCTTTCACTTCACTATTTTTGGAACCTATCCTGTATAATACCCTGTGTACTAATATTGAATTTTGTCCACTTATTCCGCACTGTGCGACGGTTCGAGTCCTGCACGCCCCAAAAAATATTTTCCATCCCCAAATCTCACCCGAACCGCTGAGAAACGCTGGCTTCCCCCTCCCTGGTCGAAAGTATCCATAAAAATCGTCACTCACCTATCTTACTGTTGGGACTGTAAGGATCGTAGCTGCTGGTGCTCATCGGGCTGGCGTATCCGTTGTTGGTGACAGGTTGCTGGTGGGCGAGGGGGCTGGAGTGCGCCAGGGGCGGTTGCTGTTGTTGCGACTCGCTCAGCTGTTGCTGAGGGGTGGTGTACACCACGTGCTGGTTTTGCAAGGTGGCGGAGGGTGATCCGGGACTATTCGTGGACAACCAATCGTCCGGTCTGGAGGGTTTGTTGCCGCTGGCGATGGCGGCGAATAGGCCGGTGGCCGCGGTCACGGGTCCCGTGACCGACGAGGGCGTCGTGGACGTCCCTGCCAGGTGCTCGGGCGTCTCGGCCTTGACCAGCGTCAAGGACGCCGCTCCTGCCACCACCGAGGCGATCGTCCCGCCCGCCCCGCTCGCTACCCCAGCGGCTGAGCCACCGTTGGCCGTGTCCATGCTGGAGTCGCTGGTGTCCATGCTGGGCGCGGCTGGATCAGCGGCTAACCTGGAAGTGGCTGCCAACACGACACCCCCCGTGCCAACCACTCCCGTCGCCTCATCGTAACGCACCGCTACGTTGCCGCTCACTAAGCTGGCCACCGTGACGGGTCCTCTGCTCACCTCTGTTCACGTCGGCCTTCTTTGATGATGCCCCGACAGACTGGTCCTTGACTGTTGAACCCCTCCGGGCCAGGGACGAACGGACCTTCCGTTTAGATTCTCTGGATCCCCCCTCTGGTGCCTTTGCTTCCGATGAATCTCGCCGAGGTTGAAACTCTCCTCGCTCTGTCAACCGACGGACACCTTCGCCTCTTCCTTCGTCTTCGTGTTCCTCCTCGCTTTTGGAAAGGCAGTGGTGCGTCTCGAACGGGGATCTCTTGCTCGGGTTGACCCTGACGCCTCAAATGGAAAGTAACGAGTCTCTGGGGTGAGTTTTCTAATCGCGGAAGAATCCAGGCCTTGTCTGTCCTGGTTGAGAATCTTTTTGAGAGTCGGTGGGGCTAGGTGTCCCTGGCGGTTCCCCTTAATCCTCCTCCTTTGTTTAGATCGCGACTGAGCTCGACCGTCTCGACAACCTTTCTACGGCGTATTGTTTCGTCGCGGATCGCGGGGGGCTTCCTCTACCGTTTCTTGACACGCGCCTCGAACCTCGGCTGCAGGTGCATAGTGCTCGTATCGAATTCCCGCCCCGTTGCTGTCTTGAGGTATCTGGAACAAACGATGACGCGAACGGTTAACTTTCTTGTGTGGCTATTAAAGGAGAATTCTATTTTTGGGGGGTGGGGTGGGGGGGGGGGGGGGGGGGAGGTGAAGGCTACGTTGTGCTATGTGGCATGATTTATTTTTTGACGGGAGGGGCGGCGGCAAAATTGTTGAGATACATTTTTGAGATTTGATGGGTTCATACATAATTGTGTGTATACAGGGTGTCCCAAAAATGTTGTAACACCTTGATGGGGGTGATTCGGGAGGTGATTTGAAACAACTTTTTCCTTAGCGAAAATGTTGTACGAGGCTTCGTTACGGAGATATTAACGAAAAACTCCGGACCAATCAGAGCGCGAGGATGCCAGTGGAGCGCTCTGATTGGTCGCGGTTTTCTGTTAATATCTTCTCAACGAAGCCTCGGACAACATTTTCGCTAAGGAAAAAGTTGTTTCAAATCACCTCCACCCTATATATAGAGGGTGTCCCAAAAATTTTGTAACATATTGAAGGAGATGGTTCGGGAGGTGATTTGAAACAACTTTTTCCTTAGCGAAAATGTTGTACGAGGTTTCGTTGAGGAGATATTAACGGAAAACTCCGGACCAATCAGAGCGCGAGTATGCCGTTGGAGCGCTCTGATTGGTCGTGGTTTTCTCTTAATATCTCCTCAACGAAACCACCTACAACATTTTCGCTAAGGAAAAAGTTGTTTCAAATCACCTCCACCCTATATATACAGGGTGTCCCAAAAATTTTGTAACATATTGAAGGAGATGGTTCGGGAGGTGATTTGAAACAACTTTTTCCTTAGCGAAAATGTTGTCCGAGGCTTAGTTGAGGAGATATTAACGGAAAACACTGACCAATCAGAGCGCGAGTATGCCGGTGGAGCGACCGCGGTAGGAGTGGACTACGTGTTAGGCGGCCACGCTCGTACGCTACCGCGGCCGCTCCATCGGCATACTCGCGCTCTGATTGGTCCGGAGTTTTTCATTAATATCTCCGTAACGAAGCCTCGTACAACATTTTCGCTAAGGAAAAAGTTGTTTCAAATCACCTCCCGAACCACCTCTTTCAGTGTGTTACAACATTTTTGGGACAGCATGTATATATTGCAGTCCAAGTCAGTTAATCAAAAAAATGGTTAGAAAACGAATTCAAATATTTTCGTACGTATTTCGTTTCGCGAAATTCATTCAAAAACGCACATTTTGAAAGAAAGAAAAAACACATCTAGTTTGGTCAGTTTTTGGCGGAGCTATAGCTATTTCAAAAGAAAAGCGTTTATTTTTTTTTTTATAAAATTCATAACTTTTTTTTGGTTCGGTACAAAAATCTGTAAAAATTCAGAAAAATGTAGTTGGCAGGCTACTATATTACAAAAAAAAATAGCAGCCAAACGGAAAATGGTCGCGTTCAAATGTGGTCGAAATTTCCCCCCGTAAATTGATCCATTTATACCGTAATTGATAAATTTTATAAAATTTTCTTAAAATCAATATTCAAGCTTATTTAATAAGCAACAGTTTATTTTAAATTCCGACAAAGCTAATATTTACCTGAATTTTATTTAAAACGAGCGATGCTTCCTAAGAGTCGAATACCTAACCATAGAAATCACGTGGAGATTTCGGTGCCCTATCAGTCGATAAATACGATAGACTGAAGATTAGGCGAGCTTGGCATAGCGGAGTTCAACGTACCTAAAACTGGTGTCGTAATCATCCTGTATCAATCGATAACGAGAGCTTCGCACCAGTCTTATCGAGCAGATCTTGATATACTTATCATCGAGGAGGTATTACCTTTAAGCCTACGCTCTTTAATGCAACGATTAAGTAGAGTGAGCGCAGTCGTTAAACCGAGAAAGTTAAATATAGCTGTGACTCGATCATGCAACCGTACTTTACGAAGCTTCTTAACGAGCTTAATTCTTCCTTGCCTCAATGCACGATCGTTCTATTCGATTTCTTATTTTTGGTACACGCTTGTAGTAAATATCACAGGAAACCGTTCGGTTTAGACTTTTCCTTGTAATATAAGGAGCAACTGAGCAAAATTTTGTTTGGATCGGACGAAAATTGTTAAAGTTATACCGAGATCACAAACGAGCTTATTTGGAATGTGAATTTGGGACTCCGGAGGTCTGTAGAGAGAGCCCGGTGGCGCCACCTAGCGGCAAAAGTGGGGACTTACGCTCCAAACTTGAAAGACTTGACCAACAGATCGCTGACCGTAACTTTCAACTCGAATTAAAAGAGCACAGCTACCCAAATTCTTATGAACCTATAAACAAGAAACGAAGAAATGCTAGTAACCTTGTAAAACAGATAGCGACGCCCTCGATGACCTTTGGAATCCTCATACAGCACCACGTGACCCGAGAATAGGTTCCTTTATAATTAATAATCGTCGAATGTTCCACTAAATCACACTTGAATCGCTCTACTGTTGCGAAATAACAAAAAACACTGACGGAGACCAGGATACACCATCACTTTACCACTGAACATCTAATCTACACGATCACAAAGTTACACGCACACTTCAAAAATCACTTTCAATTATCCCGAGATACTTCTTGGGACTTCAGGGCCCCAAAACAGAAAAAAGTTGCCCCCTTAAAGGTCAGGAGAATGACGACAATGATCAACGACCGAGCAAGAATCACAAAACCACATATAATCACTTGAAACAACTCTGCTAAGGAAACTTCCAACTGTCTTGACACACTTGGGTCCATAAGGCCCCAACTAGAAAAAGTTGCAACCACTTTCAAATTTCAGAGGATCCTCACGATGCCCAACCACCGTTCAGAATTACAAAATCCCACCTGTACACAGTACTAAGACTACATTCAACTGTTTTGACACACTTGGGTCCGTAAGGCTCCAACTAGAAAACGCTGCAACCACTTTCAAGGTTTAGAGGATGCCCACGATGCTCAACGACCGTCCAGAATCACAAAATCCCACCTGTACACAGTACTAAGACTACATTCAACTGTTCTGACACATTTGGGTCCGTAAGGCCCCAACTAGAAAACGCTGCAACCACTTTCAAGGTTTAGAGGATGCCCACGATGCTCAACGACCGTCCAGAATCAGAAAATCCCACCTGTACGCACTACTAAGACCACTTTCAATTGTCTTGACACACTTGGGTCCGTAAGGCCCCAACTAGAAAACGCTGCAACCACTTTCAAGGTATAGAGGATGCCCACGATGCTCAACGACCGTCCAGAATCACAAAATCCCACCTGTACGCACTACTAAGACCACTTTCAATTGTCTTGACACACTTGGGTCCGTATTGGCATCATTATTGGGCCTGACTGCATCGTGAGGCTCGGATGAACGTATCGAGAAGAGAACGAGCACTCTAGACGTGCAATTCCGAGAGACGAGCTGCGATGCGTGACGCAGTTACCGAAACTGCGGCACCGGGACCCCCACCATCGGCCACAGCGGGGCCTTGAGACGGTCCCGCGTGGTGGGACTACGAAGGTGGATCGACTGGGTCCGCGCGACTTTCTACGCAGCTCCGGTCGAGCCTGGCCCCAAAAGAGAACATTGGGAAGGTCGACGTCGGCGCGCTTTTGCCTCCAACCCTCTCCAAACCTCCCTGGGACCGTAGGGCCCTTTTGTTTATCCCCCGTTCTTCTCCCTCTTCCTGTGTTTACGAACCCGGTCGCGGAAATCTGCTCCCTGAGGGGTTACATAAGCTCCGAAAGAGGAATTTTATGCATTTGTGGGGGAGAGGGGGGGGGGGGGGGGAGGTTGTTTTGTTTCAATCTGTTTACAGCGACGAGAAGCAGAGTTTGAATAAATGGAAGTGAATAAATACGGAATGATTAATAGATATCGAGAAATTCGTTAAAAATAGGATACAAGCTTGGACATACTGAAAGGGGAACTCTGTGTATTTATTAAGGGGGGGGGGGGCTGGCCCGCACCCCTCCTTTATTTTTCATTTTTAAATTCGTTCCTGGCGACAGGATAGTTAATAAATATAGAGACATTAGGTAAAAATAAGATACAAGCTTCGATCCTCTGAAAGGGAAACTCTATGCATTTATTAAGGGGGGCTGGTGGAGGGGGCCTTTACTTCTCATTTTTAAATTTGTTCCTGGCGACAGAATAGTTAATAAATATAGAGACATTAGGTGAAAATAAGATACAAGCTTCGATTCTCTGAAAGGGGAACTCTGTGCATTTATTAAGGGGGCCTGATGGAGGGGGGGCCTTTACTTTTCATTGTTAAATTCATTTATGGCGACAGAATAGTTAATAAATATCGAGAGATTCGTTAAAAATAGGATACATGCTTGGATCCTCTGAAAGGGGAACTCTATGCATTTACTAAGGGGGGCTGGTGGAGGGGGACCTTTACTTTTCATTTTTAAATTTGTTCCTAGCGACAGGATAGTTAATAAATATAGAGACATTAGGTAAAAATAAGATACAAGCTACGATCCTCTGAAAGGAGAACTCTGTGCATTTATTAAGGGGGGCTGGTGGAAGGGGGGCCTTTACTTTTCATTTTTAAATTCGTTCCTGGCGACAGGATAGTTAATAAATATATAGACGTTAGTTAAAAATAGGATACAAGCTTGGTTCCTTCTACTTTACTAACTTTATGTATTTATTTATTTATTAGGGTTTGAGGGTAAGGAGGGGGGGGGGGGTAATGAGAATCCATTTATTCGTCTTTCTTTTAATATTCGTTCACGTAAGAGGATAGTTAATAAATATTGAGAAATTCATTAAAAATACGAATTACATGAATTTGTAACGGACACGACTTCGAATTCCAAAGCTTTTTAGGCCCCCTTAGGGGAGAGTCGAAAGAAAGTCACACAGATGGCGCCACTGCGAAGCCGTTAGGGACTTCCCCCTCCATGCGGTGTTGGAAGAAAGCTCTTTCCTGGATTCCTTCTCTACTGGCCATCGAGGTATCGAGCCGAACGGGGAAAGAACGCGGCGCGGAGGGTATGATGA